TGCTGGTTAACTACAAGTTAGATGAAGTACCTAGACTAGCCACCTCCATTTGTATCTTCTAATCCGTATGTACTTGTGGTAGAGCGAGCTATATTGGCTGTTGCTCTGTGAACTTGATTTTTCGTGCTCATTCAGGAACATCTACCAGTATGGCTTAATGAAGGTGTAGTAAAAACCATCAACAGTTCGACATTAGACCACCTGGTAAAAACCATCTGGCCACAAAGCCAGCTAGCACTGAAGAATCCTTCTCCGTCATCATCACTAATCAGGTACCAAATAAATTGCCAAAAATATCCAGGTACCGTATACTTCAAACAGCAGGGGCGATTGCGATATGTCTAAATCGACCAGTACTATGTGTGTAGAAGAAGCAATTCCAACCAGCCACTCCTAAATCCCTGGCCGGCCTTCAACGGAGAATATAAATTCATGAGATGTGTATCATTATCTTTCCTACTTTGTCTGATATTCATTCAGTGTATACTGTTATGTTGATGCTATTGAACTGTAAACCACTGATATTATTACTATTATTGATTGATTCGATGTTATTAAAATAACATTAATGTTGTTAATGACGCTAATTCATTCACTCACTATTATGGATGGATGCATATAACTGTAGAACCTGATGATGGTGATGAGGAGCAGGTTATCGAAAATGTGAATATTCATGGTTCGATAATCAGTCTTTTGAAAGTTCTAATGAGCATTTTTAATTGATTGAAACGTAGAAATACATTGAATAAATGAATTGAAGTTATTGATATCTCGACTACTGGAGAAATCATGAATGATTTCGATTCTGACTTCTATACCTTCTTTGCAATCTTTGGTAAGGTGTTCATATACAATTTTGAGGCATAACAAAAGTCTTATCCAAGTATTGGTTTTGTAGGGATTTTGTTTGATTGATTACACGATTTCATCATGAGCACTGACGTCGTTTAGTTAGAGAACCACCATTGGTAAACCAGCCACAGGGAGTACTGGAGGGCTGTTTCGTCCTAGTATGAGACTCTTCACAGTGCGCATCCATCCCACTGAGGTTCGAGCCAAGGACCTTCCGATTACAAGGCAAGCTAGCTCGTAGACCATTACGCAGCCACTCACTGTGACGCGACCCTACTGATAACGACTTCCTACTAGAACTTCAGGTAACTGCCTACCTGAATATATCACCAGTCACTAGTGAGCACATCTCATTGATATTCAAGTATTGGTTTTGTAGGGATTTTGTTAGTGGATTTCATCATGAGCTAACATCGGTATTTAGTTAGTTTCAAATATTATCCTTTTCTACAAAACTACAGCAAAACAAAATATTCTACTGGATGCATTTAAAAAAAATTTATTACAGATATGACCTTAGATTACAACACTGGTACATGAAAAAGATGCACTTGTGTGTTTGTTTGTGTTTGTGTGTGTACGTGCTTGTGTGCCATATCATAAACAACCCTCATTCATTTCGTAACAGCTGTTTGAAATCATCAAAATGTTCTCTGTGTGTGTGTATACAGGCTGATGACAATAAACTGTAACACACTGGTCGTAGTTGTAGTCGTCGTAGTAGGAAACTCCATTACTGAGATAAGTGAGGGGATACACCAAATGGCCAAAACAAAAAGGCCAATATATCTGATAAGATCACGTCTCTCTCTCTCTCCCTCTCTTGTGTACATGAATCCGACTGCTGTTCACCTTTTTTATTACCATGTAAGATAAACTTGTTTTTCTGCAGCTGAATGAGTGTTATTCTGATTAGTAAACTGGTATGGTAGTTCTCTTGTTTGGGAAAATACAAAGGAAGGCTGCTTAACTTACATGACATCAACAGGGAAGAATATATCGGAATGAAAAGAAAGTCGACCGGTTTATACATTAGTAGAACTAAATCTGTTGTAGGGTGGTCTGTATTCGTCAGTGGGGAATGTATATATATATATATATATATATATTCAGTCTTGAAGGAATTCATGTTTTCTTTGTAATTTCATAAATTTGTTCCCTTTATTGAATTTGAATAAAGCAAGAACATCATTGGTTTTTGTAGAATAAGAAGATGGTACCATCATTGCTTATTTCGTTGGCTTCTCATCAGCTCATCAGCTGCTTACAGCCAAAAATCATTATTAGGCATATCTACAGAAACAATTTTCTATATACTTGCACACAGAGTTCATTTTTAAACAAAAATCAATCAATATATGCATACAATAATAATAATAATATATATAATAATATTAAACACTATTCTGAACAGTAATGATTACACACAATGGAAGCTTTCGACATTACGTAATCAGATGATTTGACATTTGACATTTGAGACTTCAGATCTTCCGTGGATGAAAAGCCCATCTACATTCAACTTGATTATAAACGTGAAAATATTGCAGCGATGGTAAACAGAAGACTTAGGATATCACTAGGCAGAGCCTATCCTGCAGCTAGCTAAGTTGGTTCCCATCTATCGAACAACTTGCTCTTTGGTGCAATCAAAAATCGATAGAAATCCTTCCCATGGAAGGACAGAAAGAAGGGCATATCTGCGATTTTCTAAACATGTACCAAAAAGCCTATGTCTCCAGCTGGAAAAAAAATACTTTGTTTGAACAGCGCCATCACCAGTCATCTCCTTCATACGGGTTGGTCATGAGGTGGACGTCGCAAGATCGTTCAAAATTATCAGTTGGCAAATGAGTTCAATTTTCCTCAAGTTTGCTGCAGTCATCTCCATCAAGCGCCTGAAACCTGATTTGTGCGTTCAGAAAGAAGCATTTATTAATCTTCCTTCGCCCTGGCAAGTGGATATTCTCACCTCTCTTTCATCTGATTACGTAATGTCGAAAGCTTCCATTGTGTGTGATCATTACTGTTCGGAATAGTGTTTAATATTATTATATATATTATTATTATTGTATGCATATATTGATTGATTTTTGTTTAAAAATGAACTCTGTGTGCAAGTATATAGAAAATTGTTTCTGTAGATATGCCTAATAATGATTTTTGGCTGTAAGCAGCTGATGAGCTGATGAGAAGCCAACGAAATAAGCAATGATGGTACCATCTTCTTATTCTGCAAAAATTGTTGTTCTTTATTTGAAATTTTGTATCAACATTTATCTTTGCCAGCTTCGATGATGTTAGATGGCTGAAGGCAGTTGATCATAGGAAGCTTTGCCTAGATCTAGACCTAGGTTTTGGGCTAGTTAGCACTCACCCACCAGTCATGGAGTCAGTCAGCAAGGCGTGTATCTGCAACCACATTGTAGGAATTGACTTATGTCCCCTCTGAGATTCGAAATCGCGTTACCCAGAGCTGACTGACAGAATTCAGTCTGCACCAAAGAAAGATCTATACACACACATTACACTAGTTACTGACTAGTGTCCAATCAGAGTTTCCCAGTTTCATACTGAAGGTAAGATGACCGGCCAGAAATAATCAATGACAGAAAACTCTGAGTAAGAACTAACATCAAGATTTCATTGCTCAACAAAAATGCTGAAGAAAATTGAAATGGATCGAACAAACTCTGAGCAGACCATTTGATAAGAATCGTGCTCCAGGCCATTTCTCGACAGGAAACCTGGTGGGAAATGACGAATTCGGCATGCTTCTAAGCGTGATATTGCAAACGATCATTGGATTGGGAGGAGGGAGATGATAGACTGTGAACAATTGTTGAGCCAGATGAACAGGACTACAGGAGAATTGGACAAGATGAAGATGGTCTGTTGAATCCCTTAAGTGCCACTCGAAACCCAATGGAACAATAATATGTATTTTTAAAGTCACTTCTTTACTCCTGGATAAGAAATTGTCAATCAGTAAATTTTATGTAGACCCCGACGACTTTTAATTTACATTATCCAATATGGAATTTTATTACTCTATCATTGAACAATAATTTCATGTCATCCATTATTGGGAAAGTTGTAACATACAGAATCAGCAGATGTAAGTGGGTCTTCTTTCTAAAAATATTAAGAACAGCTAGTCCCTTTTATAAATTTGGATAGTGTCATTAGAAGACGGAGATTCTCTGAAAAATGTGGTGTGATGTATTTTCGCCACACCAAGAGAATCTCCATCATAACTAAAATGTGTCTCTGAATGTCAATCAATTTAGGTGACTTAAATTTGCATCTTCCTTTATCAAGCTGAGAAATTCAAGAATCCGAAATGTCGTCAAAATCTTTCATCTTTCGTTGATTGAAGTTCAGTACTGCGTTCAATCTAAGGCCGACGCTGAAACTTGAAGCTCTCCTAATGTTCCACTTAAAATGTAGAGGATTAAAGTTTGACTGATCCTGATGTCGGATCTCTGAACACCATCCTGCACAGTGGTTGGTTAAGTAAAGAACAAACAAAATCCATAAAAATAGCACTATTCTTTCTCACTCATCGTGTGGATACGAGACATAAGATTGATTGATGTTAACAAGATGGCTTTCAAAATCATCTGCTGAGCATACCAACTGATCTTAACTTCACTTTAAGAGTTCGTCAACAACATATTGCTGAGGTTTGTCGTCGGGATCCACATTAAGAAACCAAAGAAGAAGTATGTTCACACACTTTCCACACTTGCCTCAGCCCACAAGGTTTAAATGACCCTCAATTTGTTGCTGTAGAAATTTCCTTAATTGCATTTGATATTCTATTTACTATTACATTTTTATGCTTCTTATTATAATTTATGCATCTTAAGTGAACTGTCTGTAATTCCATTGTGATCTTACTCAACAAATCGATAATATTGAAAAACCACACCAATATTGTTATTGGCGAGACTATTCTAGAATATTCTATGTATATAAAGATATATATATATACACGGGTACTTGTAGAGCCTAAAGAAGAGGAAATTACCGAAAAGGATGTTCTTTACTGTTCAATTTTTTTGAAATTATCACCTGGGTGTGAAGCATCTACCTTCGAGTTTCACTTTAGTTTAATGGCATTAAACACGTTATAAACTTACCCAGATGCTTCTTTTGTATCCTTTAGAGGTTTCAGTGTGTGTCTCTTGGGGTGGTTTTGTAAATTGCTGTTCATCTCTTCAGGTTCTTCTAAATTCCATACCTGGGATGGGTCATCTGACAGTGTTATGCCCTTCGATGTCATCACCTGTGATTCTTGTTCATCTAACGCAATATCCCCATAGTAGGCAGCTGTAGGCATGAAATAAACAGAGAGGGAGAAACTATTACTGCTCAGATTAGTTAGTGGCGGTAATTTAAACCAAAGATTAAATCAAACAAAGGCATAGAATGCCTCCTGATTATTCTGCCAGATAAAAACAATCAGAGCATTCAGATGCATTGAAATATACCATAGTAAGCAAATCTATCCATAGAGGTGCAGTTCATCTTGACCAGTTTATAACATTTCATAACATTTTAGAAACTCCACTCCTATTTCTGATTACTAGGCTGATTTCAGCTTTTACTTGATTTCTTTAGTGTCACACAAAAATATCTTGCATGCACGGCAATAAATAAACTAAATTGTTTTGTTTAATTGGCTCCATAGACAGGATCCCCTAACCGACGAAGCATCTTTCTAATTGAGTTCTTGGGGAGTGACGCTCTTATTCCTACCTGCATTGTTAAGAATTCTCCGCCGTAAGGATTCCGAGGTTCTTTATTTGTGTGAAATCAAGTATTAATAATAATTTAAATTCCTTATACTTGGTAATGTCACCATTCTATGCATGTTTGGCATGCATGTCGGTATTATTATTATTATTATCACTACTATTATTATTTATTTTATTTTTATATTTCCCAACATACTCCCTGAGGAATTTATGAGGGTAATTATTCACTTTAAAAGCTTCTCTCATATGCCTCGCTTCCTGTCTTAGATTTTCCTTCCTACTACTTAGTTTTGTGCCCTAATTTCACTTAAACATTTCGCCAATCCTATTTTTACCGGCATAACATGGGATGATCCAAAATTCAAATATCGCTCTGAATGTGTGGGTTTTCTGTAAATACACTAGTGTGTCTAACTTTCAATCATCCTTCATTTTTTTTGCTATTCCTCACTATCTAATTTTAAATTATCTGATCCATCTATGTTTTAGTTCATAAAAATTTGTTAGTCTAGATTTTCGATGGCTTTTAACCTTATTCATAAAGGTGTCTATTGATTTCTCAAATTTTGTCTGTGTCTGATTTAATAATTATTGTATCCTTGTTATTCTAAAGACATTTTTAGGGCTTCTTACTCTATTTTCGTCAGAGGTTACGCTTTCCTCTTTCCTCCTGACATTTTAATGTCAGAGCACATTGTGTCTGTGTACTTCATCTGTTGTTGATTTGTTTGTCGGACTTAGTGTTATTTCTATTTTTAGGCATGACATCCTCGCGTTTCAGTTTGTTCACCGTGTTACATTGGAATTTATTCCCTTTTCTAATATGATGAATCATCAGAATTGTAACTAGGGTGGTGGTGAGGTAGGGGTGAAGATTGTCCAAAAGAGTCAAATTAAGTAATAGGTAGAAAGAGTAAATAAACGGTTGGTTAAGAAGAAGAAGATGTTACTAAGATGCCATACAAAAACTGAAAAAACAAAAACAGAGAAGACAAAATATGACTAACAAAGTCTTAGAACTTGGAATCATGCTCAAAGTAGAAGAAGGCGGAGGGCGTGGAGAAGTTTCTTCTCCTCTGCGCATTATTTCACGGTTTTCTATTCAGATCGCTAAGCCCTCGCTGAGCGATGCAAAGTATACAGAAGCTTACCATTTCCAACAGGAGGCTTCTTTTGACTTTGTAGATGACTTTGAATGAATTCTCCTTACACGTATTGGGTGAGAAGTGCTGACTATATATGTTCAATTATGCCACTGTTTATTGGTCCAATGTTACCTTTTCATAGCCAAGCAGTATTATGTTCTTTGACTCTTTTTGATGACACACACATCAAACGACCTATATACCTGTCTCGGTCGCTCCACATGAGCAAGTTAATTGGTAGGTAGACACACATAGAAGTGGTCAAATGAGATAGTTTAACTTTGGATGGGGCTTGAGAATACCAATCGTCATATAGGAACTGCAGAGAATGTTATTTTCGGGGCGTTAGATATTCCTCTCTTTAAAATGTCGTACAGAAGGCCACAAGATTGAACGCCACATTTATGTACAGAATCTTCTTCGGCATACAGACAGGCAATTCTTTGTTGACTTTTCAGCTTTATATGTACATCTTTAAAGCGTGGTGGTGGTGGGGGATAGCCGTTCTCAAGAGAGGGATCTCCTCTTCTACTGATTCGTGGGGCTGAATATTCTACAGATTCTAGTCACAAGAGATATTATCAGGTTCCGCTGTCGGTAATTGATGCGTACCCTTTTCTAATACACTTATTTCTTTGGTAGTATAATAAAATGCAGTTTTATTTACCTGGAGACATTCTATTAAAAGAAACACCCAGTCTGTTTAGTTATTATAACGAAACAGCCCGCCTGGGGAAATTGAACAGTACTTCAACTTGCATGTGTGTGTTTGTTATGCATGAACGTACACTAATCTATGGTTGATACATAAGCAAAAACACTCTGTTAGTTGCTAACGAAATTTACCGAAAATAAGACTCAATTAATTAATGTTATAATTTACATGGGTAGGAGAAATCTGGAACATAAAATAAGTATTGACCACACAGAAGTCAAAAATAAAATAAAAACGGAACAAAGTCAATAAAAATTTCATTTCCGTCTCCTACCGAAAATCAGGAGCTTTCACTTCATTGAAATGAATAAAATTGGAAAAGCAGTAGTGACAGCAGGACAAGTAGTAGTTTCCTGGGATTCTAGTGGGAAGTCCTGACTACTAGGTTACAACAGGTTGAGCATGTGGGGACAAATACTCGCTATTGATGAGATTGGCTAGTGCCTGTCACGCTTTGTCCTGCGTGAATTTGCAGAAGTTGGAATTGATTGGCTATTGAATCTGGTCGGGTGCCATTGAGTGGCTGCCGGATGGTCAATGAAGTCATTCGCCTTGTAGCGTGAGGGTGGTCGGTTCGAACCCTGTCGGTGTGGTGACGTGGGTGTGTACCGCTGAAGAGACATTCAGAAACTTGGCTGACTAAACAGCTGTCTGGCAGTACTCCCTGTGGCTGGTTTTCTAATGGTTCTCCAACCAACCGATGTCAGCTCATGATATAATCCTGTACCAAATCAATCAAATCCCGGTAAACCAATACTTCAGTTGCAGTTTTTGCCGCTGTGGTGGTGGTGAGAATTACCCAGAGGTTTTTACAAATACATTAGAGTCGCTAAATAAAGAACTGACGCGGGCTGATAGGCATATTATGAATTTCCTAACCAGAAATCCAAGCAATGACGGAAAGACACCAAACTTCATAGGATTTTCACAGAGTAGTTTTTGAGTCTGTATGTTTCACGAGGAACGGAACCAGTGAATGAAAATATTAATGATAATGATAACCTTCAGGCCACAAGGTCAGATTGTAAGCCATTCAGCCAATGACGGGAACTGATCCAATAAGCCATACTAATTCACCGTATAGGATATTTAGCACGATCGCCAGCCAATATCGTGGACAAGTGACTGTGATCAGTTAAACCCGTAGATAACAAATCAAATCGAATCAAACCAGCAAACCATCATCGAATAAATAAATTATAAAAGACGGTCATCTGACCAGTTGATAAGATAATGCAAAAAGATGTTGAGTCTAGACACAGCTTTCCTCGTTATTTTCTTGAAAATAAACTGACTGTTTTGAAAATGTGTAAACCTTTTGGTTACATGAATCAAGGGAATCAAACAAAAATGATACTGTTGCGAGTACTGCTGCTAAGACTGATCATACTCTCAAATTTTTAATGACAAAAAGATTTGTCAGTCACATCAGTAGGAAATCATTTTCATAATTAGATGCCAAGTAATATGAATGTCTGATAGCGGAATTCTCGTCAACCCCAGGGACGTGATTTTAACTTGTATCCTTGGTCTATACACTTCATAACCTCGTACAACCGTTAGTGAGCCCGGTTAAGAAGGCAGAAGTCAGGTGGCAGGCTAGCAATTCCATCCAATGAAATTTCATGCCTCAAGCCCTATGTTCCATCCTGAACACGAATACATGAATAATGTAATCGCATAGACTTATAACTAACCTCTACAACATACACACAAACCTCGTATTATTCCATAATTGTGTGGTTAGAGTTTTTCTTAGAGTCGACCATCTACAAGGGACAGAGAAGATTGTTTGTTAGATGGTTGGAGGCGGTAGACAGCAAACCCTGTGGAGACCCAAGTTTTGTGGCTGTTGCCACTCATCGCCAGTTAGATTGGCATATCAACAACCTTCCAGGAAGGCATACTGACTCTGAGATCCAGAGGTGGATTACCCATTACTGACTAGTAGGAGATGTTATCGCTGAGTTAGTAATTCAACCTGGTGATTAACCTCCTGTGGGATAGTATCAGATACTTTGATGAAGACATTAGGCAGCGAACTAATGTTATGCCACCATACCGTGATGTTGGTGTATACTGATGGATTAAATATACATTCCATTGAGAATTACATAACCATAATGTCCAACCAATAACAATATGGGTGTTTGTTTTGAATACTATTGACCTGTTAAGTAAGATCACAATGGAATTACAGAGAGTTCAAGAAAGGTGCATAAATTATAATAAGAAGCATAAAAGTGTTATAGTAAATAGGATATAAAATAAAATGAAGGGAATCTCTACAACAGCAAATTAAGGATCATTAAAACCTTGATTAATGTCCAGCGGGGTAAGGACGGTGTCTAAAGCAATTTCTTCTTTTGGATGCATAAGTTAGGTTTCCTAGTGTAGGTTCCAACAACCAACCTCAGCACTATGTGTAACAAACGAAGTCTTGAGGTAAAATTAGGCCTAGTTGATGTACCGTAGATGATTTCGAAAGCCGCCTTGTTTACATCAATCTTGTGTTCTTTATCTACGGAGTGAGATAGAATAGGACTATGAATGGATTTCATTTCTCCCTTACTCAACCAACCTCATAGGATAGTATTTGGGAATACGACAATATTATGCTTATTATAGATTTATGTATGTTTAGTGAATTGTCTGTAATTCCATTGTAATCTTACTTAACAAATTGATAGTATTTAAAAATTACACGAATTT